ACACACACACACACACACACACACACACACACACACACACACACACACACACACACACACACCTACCTTTGTACTCACTGCTGTGTTAGCTTCCTCCTAGCTATGAGGTGGTCTTTCCTCTCTCGTTTTGGCAGTAAAAGGGGATAATTGTACATTTCCCTTTTGTAACCTCCGTCTTCTCATTTCTGATGCTGACTCTTGAACATCCTCAGGTTAGAAATGCCGATTACAAACGCAAGCGTGAGATATTATAGCTAAGTTTTCCRTGTATTYCTATGATCCACTGCTGTCACRTTTCCTCCTCATCAAGAGGAAAATGGAGAAAAACTAACTACTCTATCATACCTGCTGCTTAGTGGACACAACGGCACACAACAGAACTTACGTTTTATACCAGTAGKTCACAGATGCTTTAACTTTTGTGACTTTTTCACCGACTAGTACTAGCAGCTAACACTAAAAACAAAGGCAGTAAGCAGGGACTGGAAGGGAGGTGAGGGGCTGGAATTTTAATGGAAATACGTCATCAATGGCCATGGTATATAGGCTATTGTGGAAGTCTCTATTAGACTTGATTTTCATCATTTTTTTGTGCGTGYCAAATCATAGGAAACAACACCACCACCACCATTAGTAAGAGGAGCTACATTTTACAGCCTGTCCTCAAGCTGCTGTCCTGAAAATCAACAACTGGCAGATTTTTCTTTGGGAAGCAGAAAAAAGCAAAAAGGTAGAGAATATGCATAAGGATGCCAAGGTACTTTGTAGGTTTGTAGCTTTCACAATTGAGTGAGTCAAGCTGACCAGTCTTGCAGTCATTTCAATTAAAGATTAAGCCAACGCAGCAACAGCTGAGCAAACTTCAACACTGTTTGGCTTCATAATACCTTGTCAGTAATTATGATTATTTACTCAAAGTTTGTTAGGAAGTKTTGCCTTCTGCCAGATGTTAAGCAAGAAGAACCCGTCACTTTGCAGCCTTGACTCTGAACCAAATAAATAACAATACCCCTCATTTGGCTCTGCAACTACCTTTGGTGTTTGKTAAAATGCACAACAATGGCGCTAATCCTGTCTGTTTTCTTTGTGCAGAACAAGTTGGAATAAAAGTGCAACTTGTCTGTGACAAGTGGTGTGACTTATTTTGTTTGTTTTATAAAGAGCAAACCTTTGTGTGGTGAAGGAGTTGGGCGACCATGCAGCTCAGGGTCGGACTTATGGTAATCTCGGTAACACTTACTATCTCCTGGGTGACTTCGAAAGTGCAGTGGCCGCACACGAAAAGGTATGTTTTAAAAGGATTTATTCGGGTAAAGAAGATGATCTGTATCACTTTTTATTCTGGGCAAATGGTTAAGAATTAGTTTTCATTTTCAGATTATTTTCACTGAATTTATTTTCTGCTGAGAATGTTCTGTTAAGAGTGATTAACCAGCAGTAATTAGTGTCCTGCTGTTTTCCCTGTTGTGCAGCGTCTTCTTGTTGCTAAAGAGTTTGGGGATAAGTCTGCGGAGCGGCGGGCCCACTGCAATCTTGGCAATGCACACATATTCCTCGGCCAGTTTGAGGTAGCGGCCGGTCACTACAAGTGAGTAAATATGAAGCTCTGTGTCATTTTCACCTCATGACTGGCTGGTTCTAGGTGGACACAGAACCACTGTGGTCTGGCTGCAGCAACACGAGTGAAAGCTTCTGAACATACAGTCACTCACAGAACATAAAGCACGTTAAATCTAAATAGTTTAAACTGGAAAATGGGTTCATTGCGCAAACAGGAGAGGAGTTTTTTTTGGCAGTACTAAAAGTGGTTCTTTTTAACCCTTGTAAGAAGTATACAGTCCATACAAATGGCTAAGATAAAGTGAAGCACTGTAACAGTAATAACTGATGCTACATAGCTACACAGGTTGGACAATGAAACTGAAACACCTGTCATTTTAGRGTGGGAGGTTTCATGGCTAAACTGGACCAGCCTGGTGGCCAGTCTTCATTAATTGCACATTGCACCAGTAAGAGCAGAATGTGAAGGTTCAATTAGCAGAGTAAGAACACAGTTTTGCTCAAAGTATTGCAATGTACACAACATTATGGGTGACATACCAGAGTTCAAAAGAGGACAAATTGCTGGTACACATCTTGCTGGAGCATCTGTGACCAAGACAGCAAGTCTTTGTGATGTATCAAGAGCCACAGTATCCAGGGTAATGTCAGCATACCACCAAGGAGGACCAACCACATCCAACAGGATTAACTGTGGACGCAAGAAGAAGCTGTCTGAAAGGGAATGTTCGGGTGCTAACCCGGATTGTATCCAAAAACATAAAACCACAGCTGGCCAAATCACGYCAGAATTAAATGTGCACCTCAGCTCTCCTGTTTCCCCCAGAACTGTCCGTCGGGAGCTCCACAGGGTCAATATACGCGGCCGGGCTGCTATAGCCAAACCTTTGGTCACTAGTGGCAATGCCAAACGTTGGTTTCAATGGTGCAAGGAGCGCAAATCTTGGGCTGTGGACAATGTGAAACAAGTATTGTTCTCTGATGAGTCCACCTTTACTGTTTTCCCCACATCCAGGAGAGTTACGGTGTGGAGAAGCCCCAAAGAAGCGTAGCACCCAGACTGTGGCATGCCCAAAGTGAAGCATGGGGGTGGATCAGTGATGGTTTGGGCTGCTATATCATGGCATTCCCTTGGCCCAATACTTGTGCTAGATGGGCACATCACTGCCAAGGACCACCGAACCATTTCTGGAGAACCATGTGCATCGAATGGTTCAAACATTGTATCCTGAAGGCGGTGCCATGTATCAGGATGACAGTGCACTAATACACACAGCAAGACTGGTGAAAGATTGGTTTGATGAACATGAAAGTGAAGTTGAACATCTCCCATGGCCTGCACAMTCACCAGATCTCAATATTATTGAGCCACTTTGGATTGTTTTGGAGGAGCGAGTCAGGAAACATTTTCCTCCARCAGCATCATGTAGTGACCTGGCCACTATCCTGCAAGAAGAATGGCTTAAAATCCCTCTGACCACTGGGCAGGACTTGTATATGTCATTCCCAAGACGAATCAACACTGTACTGGCCACAAAAGGAGGCCCTACACCATACCAATAATTTATTGTGGTCTAAAACCAGGTGTTACAGTTTCATTGTCCAACCCTGTACTTGCTAATTAATATTCTTTAAAATGGTCTTGAAAATGTTCTAACTTGTGTGTCTAACCACGGTTATATTTGTACTGTTGTATGCTTTTAGACAGTATTTGTGCAGATAAAGTTTGCAGTTATTTCCTTGTAGGGGGGGCGGAATCWTTTACAGTTTAAATCCGAAAGGACTTCAGTTCTGGTGGTGGTTTGACTGGTTCTTAGCAGCCTTGTAGAAATTACTTGGAAATTTGGTGCATCACCTTACATGACTAACACTGTCTTAATTTTTTAAATACCATCACCATGTTTTAACACAGCAGTATACCAAAATACAGTCATCCTGCCTAAGCCTGATACCAACATTTTCCTGAAAGTGACATGTAGACTCTTTCATCAGTTTGACCTTCCCCCCCTCCCTGTTCTCTCTCTTCCTCTCAGGAAGACACTGCAGCTGGCCCGGCTTTTGAAGGATAAAGCAGTGGAGGCTCAGGCTTGTTACAGTCTGGGCAACACCTACACACTCCTGCAGGACTACGAAAGAGCCATAGATTATCACCTCAAGCATATGGTCATTGCTCAGGACCTCAATGATCGGTAAACTATAAAGGGCATTTGTTGCCAGCTTTCACTGCAGCTTTGTCTGATGTGTAAAGCGTGCGCACACTGAATGTGGGTGGTCTCTGAACAATTAACTTAAAATGGGTACAATTATGTGGTGTTACTATCACCCATTAAGCAGTTAAAAAGAAGCGATGAAAGAATTTATTTTGCACACAGTGAATTTCCCTCATTATCAACGAGTAATAATAGTTTCATTTGAAATTATAAGACGTGTGTGTTTACACTTTTTAAAGCATTTTTTTTACTCTGCAAACCTTAAAGTGCATGTGACATGCATATCCTTCAATATAGAGTCAAAGAAAACATCTTTACATTTAGGAAACTTGGCATAATACTCATGGTTTTACCCATTTTGTCACATAACTGGCATATTTCCTTTTGAATTTAGCTCAACTGAAGTGAAACAGGAAGTGACATCAAAGAGGACCTCTTTAAGAAAAATACTTCCTGGTATTTAGTCATTGAAACAATATCTGAACTGTTCTTCATCTCTCTGACAGAGACTTAAAATAATCTAAAGAAACATRAGATTCTTCTCTGTTTGTGTTGTCGGCCGTTGGAGCAATGCTCTGTTCACACGCAGACATTCCTCTTTGACATCACTTCCTGTTACTTCACATGCAAATAACTCATCAGCTGTTCATCTCAGTGTTGTGAACTTTATTTTTCGGCAATATGTTACGTTATTTTTCCAAAAGTGCATTCTTATTTATTACAAAAAAATTGATGTCACCGCCACTTCAATACCTTAATTTATGACATGGAAATTGTCGTGGCAAGAATGGTCAGAACCACGGCGAAAAGGGTGTTTAAAAGACAAAGTC